CCGCTGCTATAGAGGAAAACACAGTAACATAGAACAGGGTCTCGTCACATTCAAAATCACTCATTTCATAACTTCTCACATCCATTCCTAGCCTGTGGATTGGAGACTTACATACATAGCTGCTGTTGGATTGGTGGATAATTCTGACTTTTGTCATTAACATCCACTCTTGGAAACCAATAAGTTCACATCCACACAAGAAATTGCTGTTGGAAAAATCCACTTCTTGTAGTTTCTTCAGCACAGAGAAAGTGGAAGAGTGGAGAAGATGGATAGGGTTATCACTCATGCTGATTTTCTCTAAGTTTGGACAGGAGTTGAAAGTTCCCTCAGTCAAGTATCTTAGTTTATTGTGGCTCAGATCAACACTTTTTATCTGATATAATGACTGCATTGTGTTGTAAAGTTCAATATCATTAGAGATGTAGTTGTGTTGTAATTGGAGAACCAACAAGTCACTCAAAAAGACAAATACTGCTGGATTGAGTTGACTGAGGTTATTTTGGCTAAGATCTAACTCTTTCAGGTCATACATGGCATAAAATGATTGGTCATCCATTTCACTGATCTTGTTACCATGGAGATCTATAGATTTGGCCGTCTTCCAGCCAGCATTCCTCAACCTCACAATCTTGTTATTGGACAAGTCAATCACATCAGGTGACTTCGGACGGAATGTTTGATGATTGACCATTGCTATCTTATTGGAGCTGAAGTTTGTGTGGATTAACTTCCTGGAGTCCAGAAAGAGGAATTCTGGGAGCTGGATCAGGCTGTTCTGACTGATGTCAAACCTCTGAAGATTGTGAAGGCCAGTCATGGAGGAGATGTTGCTGATCCTGTTTCCAGACAGTAGCAGGTCCTCTAGGTTTCTGAGTGTACTGGGGGCCTGGTAATGTGTCATTTCATTGAAACTAAGGTCCAGCAATTTCAGAGCCTCACAGTTGGTTACAGACACTGAGTTGTCTCCAAGGCGATTCTGAGAAAGTCTCAGAGTGTGGAGGTTTGTCAGAGATTGTTTGAAAGTTTCATCTATCTGAAAGAATAACAATTTTGAATGATGTGCTCAGTCAAATCAAATTCACTCAATTTTAATTGTTTTCAGAATACTGAGAAAAGTTTCTCAACATTTTGAAATAAATGGTTTGATTATACTTGTAGGACAAATGAAACACATGGTGTAGCAACCTATCATGCATGAACATTTCAGATTTTGAATGCCCCATACTTAATTTAAAAAGCAAAACAAATTTTAAGGTAATGGTAAAACAGTAAATGAATTGATCTAAGTGATAGACCTACCTCTTTGATTTTATTGTGTGAGGCATCCAGATAAAGGAGTCCACCAATTTCAGTCACGGCATTAGAAAGTTTGTCCAGCTGATTATAGCTGATGTCCAAGACCGTGAGACGCCGGAGATAGTCCCTCAGACTTAGGGGGATTTCCCGGAGGTTGTTCCTGGCTATTTTTAGTTCAGACAAAGAGGTTCTACTAAACATTGGAATAAGATCAGTCACGTCTGTCAGGTTCATATCAGAGATATCCAGATGTTTGAGTTGTTCGAAATGAGAGGAGTTGAACATGTCTGTGAGATTTACCACGCCTATCCCAGGGTTCCCTGCTAGTGACAGGAGCTCCATTCTCACTGGGTAGACAAACGTATCAGGTTCTATAACTGAGATTGCACAGTAAGACAGATTGACATGCTTTGGAACTTGATCTGACCATCCTTGAGTATTTTCAAATGTGTCCTTGCCAATGACAGTAAAATTATTTCCTGAGAGGTCAAGGACATTTAGGGAGGTCATGACCTGAAATCTGAGTCCTAGTTTAGGGTTCTGTAATTGGTTAAAACTCATGTTAAAAACTCTGAGGTTTCTGAGGTATCTGAACGGAATGTCTGGTAGAATAAAGAAGTCATTGCGGCTGAGATCCAAAACTTCTAGAGACGACAAATGTTGAAAAATGTGGTTGTCAAGGCGCACAAGGTGATTCATGCTGAGGTCAAGGTATGTCAACCTTCTGAGGAACTTGAATATATTTGCACCCAGCACATGAAGCCTGTTATTTGATAAATAAAGCTCTTCTAAATCCATGTAGTGAGAAAAAGGAGTTTGAAGATGAGGTCCCAGATAGCTGAGAGTTATGTTGAGTTTTGTAATTTTTGGTTGAAATGTAAAGGCACTAAAGGTTAAGATTTGAGTACAGCTTACAGTGGCATTGTCACAAACACACCCCTTCATACAACCCTGGGAGGAAGGAAAAGTCCAGATTAAAAGAACACTGACACATGCAATGATCCTTGTGGTGTCTCCATAGAAGGCCATTGCAGTTCCCAAAACTTATGTAAGGTGCTACACACTGATATGACTTAGTTCCTCCTCTCGTATACAAAAAGAACCGAAAATGGAGATTTTTTTCCTTCACTGTCTTATCATGAAGAACTGATTAGTCGTCTAGCCACAAGTCTCCATGTTTTTAACTGTCCCCCTTACATACGTATACAGTACACTGATATCAACTTAATTTCCTCCTCAACTCAGTAAAGAATTCATGAAAACAAATTGTCCTTTGCATGGCAAAAGTGGAAGGTATCTCTACAAAACTATCCCAAAATAAAAGTTTTCCTGATTATGACAGAGTTTCCACCCTAAGTCTAATTAGAGGCTCTCAGATTACACTAATCACTGCATATCTAATGAGCTTTAACATGTTCAGCACACTGTGTCTTTGCATATCTTAAATGTGGTCAATCTATTCCCCAGCCTTCAGACACACATGCAGTTTAATAAAGTTATCACTAAAGAGTATTGCTGACATGAAACATGAATTATTTTGTGATAAAGTAAATCTACTTGTCAGAACTACACAGCTTAGTACAAATTATAGGGACCATTTGGAAGATGAATTTTATTTTATTAGAATTTCCATAATGATTTAAAAAAAAAGATTTATCAGTAATTATGTATCCCAATACAAATTGACATTTTATAAAGTTTTCTGCAGGGTTATTGTTTATTATTAGACAGGTGTTTAGCGAGTTAAATAAGCTTATAAAAAGTTTGTATTTTGGAGAGATTTAAATGAAAAGGTTTACATGGACTTTCAAAAAAAATAATTCCACCATATGAGGTACAATATACATGTGTACTTCCACTTGACATCCTCTTCCAAATCTATAATATATCAATTTCATTTAGTGCATTACATATACCAAACATGTTGGCAAAAATCCAATATACCTGACATATAATAAAAAGTACAATGTATTACTTTTTTTGACAGGTGCTAGCACTAGGAAATCAGATTGGCAAGGTGTATGTATGGGATCTTGATCTAGAAGATCCGACTCAATCAAAGTAAGTCAAAAGGGACTCAACTAAAAGTAAGTCAAATGTGACCCAATTCAGTCAAAGTAAGTCAAATGTGACCCAGTTCAGTCAAAGTAAGTCAAATGTGACCCAATTCAGTCAAAGTAAGTCAAAGGGTCAACCAATTCAAAAGTGACCCAATTCAAAAAACTCAATCAAAGTAAGTCAAAAGGGACTCAACTAAAAGCAAGTCAAAAGTGACCCAATTCAAAGCAAGTCAAATGTGACCCAATTCAGTCAAAGTAAGTCAAATGTGACCAAATTCAGTCAAAGTAAATCAAATGTGACCCAATTCAAAGTAAGTCAAATGTGACCAAACTCAATCAAAGTAAGTCAAAAGTGAATTGTAAGTCAAATATCATTCTTACTATTATAATTTAGACTACTGGTTTAAATGTCAGTTTCAAACATTTGACATTCCATCTTGCACCCAGTCATTAGATCTACAGTTTAACATAATTATTTCATTGTAACCATACCCTTTCTTTAGTGATTTCAGTACAAAAATCTGACAAGAATATCATTCCAAAGTGTGGCTTTTATTGATAAAATGTTGGAATTGTAAATTTACATTTAATTAATATGTATAGTGATAGATTTATTGTAAACAAAGCCAACATATCCACTTTCTTTTTTTAGACCCATCATTTTAACACACCCCAAATGTTACACACCAATACGTCAGATTTCCTTCACAAGAGATGGCAGCACAATGCTGGCGGTGTCTGATAATGCCACAATCTGGAGGTGGGACCGAGTCAAATGAACCGTGACAGATGTCTGTATAGATTCAGTGACCCATGACAAAGGTCAGGGCATTTTAAAACAGAAGTGTGTCTGCAACTATTTAGAGGCTGTAGTTTGGACTGAGAAGCTTGGGGAAACAAAACTTTATGAACTGGAATGTTTTGCAATGGAAGAACTATGTGTAATTTGAAGAAATTAAAGAAACAGATTGTATATAGATTTTATCTTCAAAAATTTTTTTTCACTGGAAAGAGGATGGGGCTATGTCAATGATTCATTGTTTGAATTTTTAGGGTGGATTAAATTTTGGCAATATTAGCAACTGTTTTTGGGATTAATGCATGTTTTATTTTTTCGCTAGAGATTGAATATTATCGCTAAAAATTAAATGTGTTTAAGTTGTAATAGTTATGTTAAATTTTTCATAGAGTTCTATTATTCAAAACGTTGTAAAACAACTTTCAAGCAAGACTTTGAAAAATATCGATTCAAGAAAATAAGGAATATTTGGGCATTTTTAAAAATGGAGGCATAAAAGGGAAGGACAATCCCCGTACTGGACACAGAAAAGATATTTTCTCAATTCCAGAAAATCATGAAAGCTAATTTTTTCAAAGTTATATAATCTTTTTCACATGTAACTCTGCATTTCATTGTTTAAGTATGGGTTCAGATTCCATTTTGGCAAATGAAATAGATTTCATTTTTACATTTCCATCATTTAAGAGTTAATGATTAAATGTTAAAATCAAGGGCCAAGACCCATTCAAGTTCAAAATTCATTTTTTTATGGCTCTAGTAAAGCCATTTTGGAAGCTAAATATTTTCTAATGGTTTAGAAAATAGTTTTACATAGAAATATATAGGAAAAAAAAATGAAGCGTCCCTGGGTGGGCTATGAACCACCAACCTTTCGGTTAACAGCCGAACGCGCTAACCGATTGCGCCACAGAGACCTCGATGTTGACACGGGAAAAAATAATCTATATAAATTTTGTAAAGCTTTTACTAGGCACTCATTTGATTAGGACTTCTTCCGGTTTTCTGCAGTTGCTGATTGTGCAAGATGGTTACTTCGTGCACACGTGAATATTGATGTAAATATGGTGAAATAATACACCTCTCCAGTGGAATTGGTGCATCCGATAAAGATTACAACATTAATAAAAACACGGTAAGACAGCTACTGGACTACAGTTATATGATAAAGTCCACAAAAAATGTCTGATTGAGGTAGGATAATAACTAGAAACAAAAGTGAAAGCACACAGATGCGGTATTATTTATTAAAAAAATGTTCTGTTATAATCCATGTTAGTTTTAATAATGGAAGTCTCCTGGTGCTTCCAATCAATGCATCCACCGACTTGTATGCAGAAAATGCTCATCTTTTGATGTTAAAAATAGGCATAATAAATTGCAACAATTTTTCATATTGGAAGAGTCAGTGTCTGTCAAACGTAAAAAAAATAAAATAAATAGGCCTATTCATTAAAATATTCTTTAAAAAAATCTTTTCATGACCAAAACTGGTCTAATTTGAACATCTTTTCATACAATAGACCTGTATAGTTTCAGGATAAATGCTCTACTTCTCTTTTGCAGGACAAAATGATATATTTTATTAAAATATATACTCGATTCTCATTATATTGCGGGTTTCATTATAAACTATCAGACTGTCATCTTAATGTAAATTTTTGTGATGATTAAAAAGTTAAAAAGTTAATGAAGAATGAAGAAGGATGCCAAAAAAGAATTACAAAAACTTAAAAAGTTTGGAACATGCGTCGGAAAAAAAATTATTCAAATAAAACGTAATTTTACAGAAATCCACTATTATTTTTAGCCCACTAAGTTTATAATCTAGTGAAATCTATATAAAATTCATGTTTGAAAGTCTTTAGTTCGCATAATTGTTTATTTTCTTATGTAGAATATTACATGGTAAAATAAAAAATAAGAATTGAAGACCATGTCAACCTCAGGTATCCATGTTTTCCCATACCGCGATATTATGAGACTCTCCGATTTAGGAGGTAAATAAGACTTCCTGTTTTAAAAATAGACTACAAATTAAACGATGCAAGCTTGGGAAATAATTTGATGATAAAAAGTTAGGCCATAGGTTGGTTTATGAATATCATTTGATGAAAGTTAAATTTAAAAAAGTGAATTACACTTTTTTATGCAAAAGATTTAAGTACCGTGATATAATGAGACACCTGTATACATTTAATTATTATCTATAAACAAAAAATCCACCAAAAATTATTAATTTGCCCTGCAGAAGAGTGGTACTACTGCAGTTATTGTGAAAGTGCTAATTGCTCCACTGAGGTAATTTCATACTCTGTCTCGGAATGTTCTATCCTTTTTTCAATCTTTAGCTATACATATTCTGTATTGTACTTGGAATCCACCACGCGATCATATTGATGTGGTTGACTTTCAAGAATGTGTAAGTATAACCCTAGATGGAAATAGTGCAATATCATCCTGACATATGTAATTATTGTCATGAGAGTGTCTTGCTATTACTGACTATAGATTGTTGTTTATAATTTTAATAGATTAATTAATTGAACATTCATTGAATTTCAAATAAGACTAAATTTTGATGATGAACATAAATTTAACAGTCAATTCACTGGAAAGCAATGACGTCCTTACCGCGACTGACGGGAGCTTTACGAGCATTTGCCAATGTTAGCAGAGACACAGGGATATCACTCACTGATGAGCATCAAGAGTTAGTTCGTAAGCGACAGCTTGCAGCAAAGAAACAGACAGATACTGTCAGCTGGCAGCGACTGACGGAGGTTATAAACAAAGAAGCTGATGTGTCAAAGGAGGAAGTGAAAGCAGCTCTCAAAGAACTAACTCAGTACGCCAAATCAATAGGTGTGGTACTGGTATTTTGATACATCATAGAGCTGAAAACAGGGAACATTCTATATTTAAAAAAAAAATTTGAAACATATGCTTTTGAAAGAACATACTTCTGTCAATTTATCTTTCAATGCTTTAATGTTATATGTAAATTATTTTTAAATTCAATAAGAAATAACCAATATAATGAGGCATTTTAAGATATCAATGAAAATTCAAGGCTCTTTTCTTTGCAAAGCTATTGTAATAAGTAAGTACTGTAATAATTAACATATTAAAGGATCTGTTCTTAAGAATTATTTTTGTGTTTTTCAGTGGGATCAGAAGCAGATTTAGAGACAATAGAGAGTTCAGCAGCATTCCTGTTTGAACTTCTCAAGTCTGCTAATATTGTTGGGAAAAAAGAGACAACAAAACTTCGACAGATCTTCGGACCATTTCCAGCCTCAGCAGCCAGCAATGCATGTTCATTGGTCAACAAAATAGTGTCATGGTTACCAGAAAACACACTTGATTCCCTTGGTAACCAGGACCGACAGGAGGCAGATGGAGAAGCCAGTGTCAAGGAGTTCGGGATGAACATTAAGTTCATAGGTCAAAGTCCAGAATCTTATTTTGAGGACGAGGATTTTAGTTCGGATTCTGATGAAGGTGAGAGGAGAGAGCTGGATCTGAAATATGTAGCTTCCCCCATAAACCAATCGCTGCCAAGAGGGAATCACCTGACAAGGAAAGGTATATCTAAAGTTAATATTAGAATTTATGTTATCTTGTTAATGATTTTAGCATTATGTACTATCAGGCTCTCAAAAAAGATTAGAATTAAAATAAATTGGAATATTGTCAAAATCAAAAATTTTTTGAAGTGTTAAAGATTTCTTTTTATGTAAAGCTTTCACTTCGGTGTAGCCAAATGTTGATTTGCTACTGTGTTGAACATGTTGAAGGGGGAAAAAGCTTGGCATGTATTTCAAATTTTCTTTCCAAGTTGAAAATAGTAGAATATTTTGTTATTTTTAGCATGACTGGGAGTTCATTTAATATCACACACAATATGTTGTAGGTATGATGCGTCATGGCTACAAAGGGAGGTAATCAAGTATTTTCCTGGGGAGGAAAATTATCTGGGTATGAGTAGAGAGGACTTATGCTCCACCATATTTGATGTTCTGACAGCATCCAACTCAGACGAAGAACTTCAAAATAATGTAGGCATTCTGAGTATGTTCAAACACGTTAAAGTGAAACAAGCTATTAGAAAATTTAATGCATCTGCTTAGGGAAAAACAAAGAGGGGAGCCACAGAAATGCAGATGAAGAAAGAAAATAACCTTGACCTTTTTTCTCTTTGCTTTAATGTCAGTAAAGGTTTTTATCAACTTAAACCATGACCTATAGTCTCATTGCAAAAGGTTTCAGAGCTTTTAAAGAAAATATCATCTGAATATAAAGATATTGATATTAGAGATACAAAAGTTCAATCTTGTTATTAAAAAGAGTGGGTTTTTTTTGTTTGTTTTGCAGCTCTTTGAGCTTCTGGGCTTTGACAGATTTGAACTCATCCAAAGTTTGATTCAAAACAAAAGAAAAATTATAGAGGGAGCTTTAACTCGACCAGAGAGCAGTAAACAAACACGTATGTATAGTTCTTCTCAACAAGTAAGTCGAAAGTTGTAGCCAAAATGAAAATATCTTAAAATATTTCTATGTCTTGTAACCGTATGGTCATGAATGTATCTAAGTGAAAGTTTAGATTGGAAAAATGAAATAAAGATTCAAAAACCCTGGATTCTGAGGAAAGGGGAGAGAATTTGGGATTTGAAAAGTTACACTAAGAGGTTGCTTAGTTTCAGAGTCTTTTACAGATGTAAATTATTTTGGTTGTAGTTAGAGTTCATTTAGTGCTTTGTTGACACTTATCTGAAACATGTGATAATGATTTGCATTCTAGGAGCTAAAGCTGATGGAGGAAACAGGCCACCAGTTACCCGGCCCACCTATGGTTGTCAAGTTACTGTACAGGTAAGAAAAAGGCCACCTATGGCTGTCAAGTTACTGTACAGGTAAGAACACCCCCCCCCCCCCCATTACCTGATCTAATTATGCCTGTCAGGTAATTGTACAGGTAAGTAATAGATCCGAGAATACCAGACATAAATACGGATTGTTAAATGTAGATCTACAAATAAAATAAAAGTTACGCCCTCTGTTATGTGACAAAATTATTAAGATAAGGGCCCCGTGGGAATCTGGGTTAGAATAGGTCCTGAGTACCCACTTGCTTGTCGTAAAAGGTGAGTAAATGGGGCGTCCTTCGGATGAGACCGTATAAACCGAGGCCCCGTGTCACAGCAGGTGTGGCACGATAAAGATCCCTCCCTGCTCAAAGGCCGTAAGTGCCGAGCATAGGCCTAAATTTGCAGCCCTTCACCGGCAATGGTGACGTCTCCATATCAGTGAAATATTCTGGAGAGGGAGGTTAAACAGTATACAATCAATCAATATTAAGATAAGGATTGTTCTATTGTAACCATCAGAAGGAAGAAGAATAAGGATTATAGAAGTTTATACTATTTACAGACAGAGGATGAGAAGCATCTGATGAAGATAATGAGGAAGGAGGAGAAGAGAGACAGGAGGAGAGACGAGGAGGAGGAAGATGTGGGCTTCCTCTTCAATCCTCAGCAACTCAGGGCTCAAAGGTACGTAGAAACATGTGTATTCCAGAAAATATTTCTTGTTAAATTTTATTTTTTATCTTTTATTTGGTTGTTTAAGTGATGGTCAGTGTAAAATCAGTATGGCATTTTATGTTAGTGTAGAATAACCTATAAATCATAGTGTTTGAAGAAAAAAATGCTTGGTAACTTTACTTTTCTACCTTCTTTGGTGTAAAAAATGCGCTTGCTTCTGCAACATTTGTGAGATTTTGCATATTAAGCATACACTGTATCTTATTACAGAGAAGCTGCATTAAAGGCCCCCGCTCCAATGTTCAGTGGGGGCAGGGGAGGTTACACACCCCGAGAGAAATATCCCTATGTATTCGACTCCATGGAAGAGGCCAGACAGTCCTCAGCTTTCATTGGAGGAGTCAAGGTAACCATAGACTAGTCCTCAATTAATTCTAATTTTATTCAGTACCTTCAGCAAAATAGTGTATACTGAATCTTATGGTATCAGATCTTATTTCTGACATCTGCTTATTATGAAACCACATTGACATTGGCATGATTTTCATTTATTAAGCTTTGTAACTTAAATGTATAATAAACTAACTGGATATAATTATAATAATCTTAAATTACTCACCTTTAGCTACAAGCCTATTTTACTGTAATTTCGACTGAGGATAAATAAGATTCTTGAATAAGAGTTTGAAGAATTTTGTGTTATAGTAGATATTCCTTTGCTACATATTTAGTCTGTTTCAGATGGTTTTACCAGACACGTTCACCAGGAAGAGTACCAAGTTAGCAGAGGAGGTCAGGATCCCCCACACGGAGGCCCAGGCCACAAATGTGGGGGACAAGAGGGTACAGATCGCTGACCTAGACGATGTAAGTCACGTATTACAAGTCATTCTCTTATATCAAATGAAGTTAGCTTTAGTCTGTTTTATCCTTATAATTAATATCAAATTGAAAATTGCAAGAATGATAACAGTAATTCTGTTTAAGATTTGGTAAAAATACTACTTTTCTAGACATGAAAGGTGGAAAACAAACGGAGGAATAGGGTTACATAATATTAAAATCAGACTGATGTACAGGCACCAGTTTTAAAGAAAAAGCATCTGTGTTTCAGGTTGCTAAGCTAGCGTTTAAGAACACCAAGGCCCTGAATCGTATCCAGTCAGTTGTATTTGATGCTGCATACAAGACGAATGAGAATCTGTTGATTTGTGCCCCCACTGGTGCTGGGAAGACAAATATTGCCATGTTAACAATACTTCATGAGATGAAACAGCACATATCACAGGGGGTCATTAAAAAGGATGAGTTCAAGGTCAGTCTCTGCAAAATAAAATAGTGAAAAGGTAATAAAATGAATATTTTCATGGCATAGTTTTTTACCGAGAAAAGGAATTTTTTACAAAACTTTAAATTAGAAAAACATAAGAGTTAAAACATTTGCTGTCATTGTAGATAATTTATGTGGCCCCTATGAAAGCGTTGGCTGCAGAGATGGTCCGTAACTTTGGGGGTCGATTAGAACCACTCGGAATTGCTGTCAAGGAACTTACAGGAGACATGCAGTTATCAAAGTCTGAAATAATGAAAACACAGGTACCACTGATTTTGATTATGAATCTGTAATCAAATTTAGGCAAAGGAAATGCTACATGTATGATTCAAATTCTGTTAAGACTTACCTAATGTATTCATCGCCATTGAATTCTCACATAAAAGCATCGAGTACCAGAGGTTGAATAGAGAGAATTTTTGATTTTCTTTGAAGTAAATCTTAAATTGAAAGTAAAGTTAAAGTTTTATTCCATTGTAGATGTTGGTGACAACACCAGAGAAGTGGGACGTGGTGACTCGTAAGAGTACTGGGGATGTGGCACTGACCCAGCTGGTCAAGTTACTAATTATAGACGAGGTCCATCTTCTTCATGATGACCGAGGGTCAGTCATAGAGAGCCTGGTAGCCAGAACCATCAGACAGGTACAGACCACGAACCCAAAGAGGTTTTAAATACAGTAAAAAATAGCGATAAAAGAAATCACTTATAAGGAAATCTTAGTTAATTGGAAATTTTCTTTGAATCTCTGAATGGTATGCTTGTAATTCAGAAAAAAAATCTTGATGAAGGTAACAAATTTTGAAGTGCCTATAGATTCTGAGTAACTGAGTCTATACTTAATTCTACCCTGCATGAAAAAATACTAATGATTATTGTATGTAATGTATATAACTTTGCATTGGGTTGCCATACATTTTAGCAAGCTTGCAGCTAAAGCTACATGCCCGTTAGTTTAAAGAAACCTTTATATATTTTCTGTAGGTGGAGAGCTCCCAAAGTATGATTCGTATCATTGGTTTATCTGCCACCCTCCCTAACTACATTGATGTGGCCCGATTCCTTCATGTCAATCCTTATGTAGGACTCTACTTCTTTGATGGAAGGTTTAGACCAGTCCCTCTCGGACAAACATTTGTAGGTAAAGGAAAACTTATTTTGTACTGGCTTCTGTCTAACAATTAGGGAGTAATTTTTCATTCAAATGCTTATCAGATTTTGTTTATAATGCAGTTTTGAGTTTTGGTTTAATGATAAAATTTTGAAATTTAAAAAAAATTAAATGCTCTCACAGGAGAAAATCTAAATTTATTAAATTATATATGATTTTACCGTTGATTAATTCGCAGGAATTAAGGCGACCAGTAAAGTTCAGTTTCTGCAGGACATGAACACGGTTTGTTATGACAAGGTCCTGGAACAAGTCAGGCAGGGTTACCAGGTGATGGTGTTTGTTCATGCTCGGAATGACACTGTCAGGACGGCCATGGTCCTCCGAGAAATCGCCAAAAACAACGGAGAGATGGGGTTCTTCTCTCCAGAGCAGTCCGCTCAGTATGGGCAGGCAGAAAAATCAGTGAGTTAATATTAGTCCTTGTAATAATTCAAGTTAATTAAATATCTCCTCGCAAAGACACGGAGAAAAATTGGTGAGTTTCATTAAAACTGAATGACATGTTTGGTTTTTCAGACACTGAAATCTCGTAACAAGCAGCTTAAGGAGCTGTTCCCCGATGGTTTTGGAATTCACCACGCAGGCATGCTCAGACAGGACAGGAACTTGGTGGAAAGATATTTCGCGGCAGGACACATTAAATGTCTGGTGTGTACAGCCACGCTAGCCTGGGGAGTCAACCTGCCTGCTCATGCTGTCATCATTAAGGTATTCCAGAGGAAGAGTTGTGATTTTCATTGTTGATATTTATAAGTATTACTTAAAGTGTAGGGTAACTTTGAATATTTCAACCCCAGGAAAAGCATTTTCAACTGAGGCATAGCTGAGTAATACCCCTCCCCCCTGCTTTTATTTTGATATTTTCAAAAGACTATGAGTTAGTGCTTGTTTGTAGATATGATTCATGCATTGGAACCATTATTTTATGAAAACAAACTTTGTAAGTGCACGGAGAGAAAACTCAAAAGCCCTCTCTTTGTAACCATGTTTGATTCACTAAATATTCCGTACTACAATTTTCATTCCTTTATGTTTACAGGGCACAGAGATTTATGATTCTAAGAAGGGAGCTTTTATAGATCTGGGAATTCTGGATGTCATGCAGATCTTTGGGCGAGCCGGTCGTCCACAGTTTGACAAGTTTGGACACGGTACGATCATCACGGCACATGAGAAGTTGTCTCATTACCTGTCACTGATGACGCGACAGAATCCAATAGAGAGTCAGTTTGTGAACAGTCTGACAGACAACCTTAACGCCGAGGTAGGCTCTCTATACCTTTATTGTTCAGATGGCCCTTTCAGTTTGTCTATGTTTTAATTACTAAGCAGCAAGATCTTTACCCATCCAATTGATTAATTGATAAAATGTATCTCTGGAATTTCTTGGCCAGTATATTGCAAAAACAATATAAAAAGAAGAGAGAGTATGTATGGTACATGCATTGTTAATTTACTTAATAAAAAACAAAAGCAGAATAAATTAACATTTGATCGTCATTACAGATAGCTCTGGGTACAGTGACTAACATTGAGGAAGCAGTGAAGTGGCTGAGTTACACCTACCTGTATGTCAGGATGAGGTGTAATCCTCTGGTCTACGGTATCAACTATAATGCTGTGGAGGTAAGTTTGTCTGTCTGTATGAAGCATGAAGAAGCATGAGGGAGAGGTCACTGACGTGAGTGAGCAAGGATATCAAAGTAAGGGTGATACTTATCATATGTTATTTATTTTATTGGTGCCATACCATCCTCTCCTTGTCCTCGGTATCTCATTTTCCTGTCCTCTCTCTTCGGTGCCCTCTTCTTCTTGCACAATGGAAATGGGTGGCACCATCAATATAACTTTCAATGCAAATGTATAGGATAAATCATAGGCTAATCTAATGTAGTTTATACTAAGTACTTTTACTAGTATTGAGTTATGGACATTGTTTTGTGTAGAATGACCCGTTGTTGGAGCAGCATCGTCGAGATTTGATTGTGGATGCAGGTAGGAAGCTGGACAAGGCCCAGATGGTCAGGTTTGATGAGAGGACCGGTTATTTTGCCTCCACAGACCAGGGCCGTATTGCCAGCCACTTCTACATCAAGTACGACACGGTCGAGGTAAGATTCTGTTTGGTTCTAGTTAAACAACTTCTGTATTTTTTAATTGGTATGATTTTATATTAATTCTAACCTTGTTATTTCTGAAATGTAATTTAACAGGTGGTGAATGAGCATTTAAAGCAAATTATGACAGAGGCAGATGTATTTGCACTGTTGTCCAAGTCTCAAGAGTTTGACCAAATCAAGGTAACTTGTTCTCTAATCTTTGAACCTTTTCATCTAAACCTTACATTAAGACACTTTCTGAATGCAGTACTTTGATATTTCTAATGTTCCTAGGTCCGTGATGATGAGATGGATGAATTGGACGACATTCTCCACAACATCTGTGTGATGCAGGTGCTTGGCGGATCAGAGAACACCTACGGTAAAGTCAACATCCTGTTACAGGCCTATGTGTCCCGACACAACATGGACGCGTTCTCTCTGGTCTCAGACCAGGCTTATGTGGCTCAGGTAAGAAATTTTAAGCAGTAATAGTCTGTTTTAAAAGTCTATTTTGTCAATTATTTTGGGGATTTCGGAGTATCTAAAGAGAGAATATGAATATACAAAAATAAATAGTATTGATTTAAACTTTAATTAAGACCCCATATCTGAGAAAATACATGTATAAGTACCTTATCTCACTGAATAATCTATTTATGCATTGCTCTATCCAACATTACAATTGTTTTTGAGAATTCTGAACTAATTGCACCATGACATTAATTTGTATGTATATTAAATTGTATCCTGGCACCATTGTAGAATGCTGGTAGGATAGTTAGAGCCCTGTTTGAAGTCAGTTTGAAGAAAGGTTGGCCAGTGATGGCAGGGCGACTTCTGAACCTTTGTAAGACGATAGACAAGCGACTCTGGGGGTTTGAGAACCCTCTCCGACAGTTCCCCCTCCTCACCAATGAAATCCTCAACAAACTGGAGGCCAAGAAACTGACCGTGGACAAACTGAAGGAAATGGACCCTAAGGAAATAGGTCAGGGAGTGAACTATATTTGGAAATATGCTAATTCAAATCAGTGACATTGATAAAACTAATTGGTAGTTTTTCTGTTGAATGATTTTGAATAATCAGAATTTGTAGGCAAAATAAGCAGGCAAAATAAGCAAAGCAAAGTTATAAATGCACTACATGTATGTATCAGGCGGAAGTGAGTTGAGGTCTCATTTACAAGCATGTACAAAATTCAAAATTTTAATTCAGTTGAATTGTTGACAGACTTTTAAAAAATTAATTTGTTAAATAAGTTAGATTTCAAACTGGAATAAAAATAATATCAGGACATGTGACTCATCTAAATATTCATTATATCTTCGAACAAATCAAATATTTGGATTACCGTTTATACGTACAATAGGTCACATGGTTCACCATCCTAAAATGGGTGGAGTGATAAAGAAATGTGTGAATCAGCTTCCCTCATTGGATCTAGAGGCCAGTATTCAGCCAATCACACGGACCGTACTAAGAGTGAGACTCTCTATTCAGCCGGAATTCAGATGGGATGACAAGGTCTGTACTTAACTGCTCTTTCTTTTTACCTCACCTGGACCATAGTAGATTTTATTTTTGAAAATCAAATATTGTTTAGTTGGATCTTTTTGACAACATCCACATTGACCTGTTGTTTGTGATGTAGGTACATGGCAGTACAGCTGAATCGTTCTGGATCTGGGTGGAGGATCCTGATAATAATCACATCTACCACTCAGAGTACTTCCTACTGCATAAAAAACAGGTAGGTATTCCAGTCACTACAGAGGCAGGTGCTTGTTAATCCAAATCTACAACCTCCTTTGTGGGATAAAAGATCTAGATTTCCAATATCATGTTGGAAAGGGCATTTTAAAGCTTTTTTTTTTTTTTTTTGAGGAAAGATAACCACTATTTTGTGTGGATTTTACATTATACATTCCCTGTGTGATTGATTTGACAGGTGCTAGCAGGGGAAGCCCAGCAGTTGGTGTTCACTATCCCTATCTTTGAGCCCCTCCCCTCCCAGTACTACGTGAGAGCCGTGTCAGATCGCTGGTTGGGATCTCAGAGTTCATGTGCAATATCATTTCAACATCTCATCTTACCTGAAAGGCATCCCCCTCATACAGGTAAGCCAGTCCTCTTCAATCATCATCTCATAATATCGTTTATTCATATAACTTTTAGAGGTTTTGTATGGCTGCTAAATAAAGAATTTAATTTTCCAGTTTCTGTAAATCATGATAACTTCCCATTACAGAGTTACTGGACCTAACCCCCCTCCCTAAGTCTGCCCTAGACGACCCTGCATTGGAGGCCCTCTACAAGTTTTCTCACTTTAACCCGATCCAGACCCAGATCTTCCATGTCCTGTATCACACAGACACTAACGTCCTACTGGGGGCCCCCACGGGGTCCGGAAAAACTGTGGCAGCAGAGATGGCTATATTTAGAGTGTTCAGAGAGTATCCCAAAGCTAAGGTGAGAACACAAGTCACAGAGTCAGTTTTGCTTTCATTCAGTTTATATTCCTGCGGTTGTAAAGAATCTCATAATCTATAGAGATTTAGTCTATTCTATAGATTATCAGATTCCTGCTAGATTAGAAGTGATTATAAATGTAAATGGTGATAAAATAAGAAGACATTAGTGAAAAATCAAAGGATTCTAATTGAAAATGTTTGCTTCGTTATTGATTTAGGCTGTGTATATAGCTCCTCTGAAAGCCTTAGTCAGGGAGAGAATGGAAGACTGGAAGGTCAGGATAGAACAAAAACTGGGTAAAAAGTAAGTATGATTAAATCTAGGCAATCCACTGTCTTTCTGAATTATCATGATCACTATCCATAAGCATGATGTACTTTTCCTGACTTGTATTATTGCTATAGGGTGGTGGAGTTGACAGGGGATGTAACTCCTGACATGAGGGCGGTGGCCAATGCTGACCTGATTGTGACGACCCCAGAGAAGTGGGACGGGGTCAGTAGGAGCTGGCAGACCAGGAGTTATGTCAAGGCCGTGTCTCTACTCGTCATTGACGAGATACATCTACTGGGTAAGTGGAATTTGTACTCAAGAGTTGTCCCTAAGAATTGAAAGAAAGGGGGACATTTAAAAAAGTAGAAGGGGATCTCAAGTTCCTCCCTGAATACGGAGTATAGGAGGAATTTCAAAATAATCAGGGGATTACACCATCTTAGGGACCGTCTTAGGGACAACCCTATTTACTTATTTAGTGTTTACAGTGTTATTTTCCCAGCCATGTTATTGTTGCTGTACCACAAGACCTTTATTGGATTCTACCCCTTTTTGAATATGGACATGAGGAATAAGGGGCAAAAGGGGGGAAATTTTCACTGTGTATTGTATTTTAACATGTAATATAACTTATCTCAAATTTCTGTAATCATTTATTATTTTAAATATTTTTTTACAGATATATTTTTCTGCCTGTTGTTTCTTGTTACAGTGTTTCAAAATGAAATTGATTGATTTAATCATCATATGATTGTGTACATCAGTTAACATATAGAATTTAGTCCTATAAACTGGTTTCCTTCCCAGGTGATGACAGAGGACCAGTGTTGGAGGTCATTGTTTCCCGTACTAACTTTATCTCCTCCCACACAGAGAAGCCTGTCAGAGTGGTCGGTCTGTCTACAGCGCTGGCTAACGCCCGAGATCTGGCTGACTGGCTCGGAATCAAACAGGTACAAGCAGAATTCTAAGTCAGTATTCAATTTGTCATTACATGTATTAGTGAAAGTGTTGAAACTATGTAGAAAACTTGAACACAAAAATAAGACCTTTTTGATATTGTAAAATTTATATAGTCATGGTCCTAACTTGTATTGAAATCATGGAAGGAGGAATGCCGTTTTGAAAGTATTTTACAGTAAATTCTGTTTTCAGTAACCATGACAACTTCACTCTTCAAAATCAGATAATGATATTCATATGTATCTTAAAGCCATATATGGCGTAACTGATCAAAAAAATATATTTTTGAAAAATACAAAATTAAGTAAAGAAATATAGTTAATACATATAAATTAAAGCTTTTCATAAAATTCTGAACGCGGAGAACACCTCGTTTCATCTAATAATACGATTTTATCTTCTCTGTAATGTGTTATTTAAATCTTTTGTATTTTCTTCCGAGTTGGAGAAAATTCCGAGATTCCAAATTAAATTGTGATATCTTTATAACGCAATTGACTTAGATTTTGTAATTTACGGAAAAGTTCTATCTTTATATAAAGTAATGATACAAATAATAAGTTCTTATAATTTTAGTCTAATAATTTTCATTGTACATACGCCATATATGCCTTTAATTAGTGTAAATTTTTTGGGTTGCCAAATTGAAAGTTATATTGAAATCAGACCAAGTCTGTAGGAGGAGTAGCATTTTGGAAAAAAATAGATGAAAGAACAATGAACACATAAGCTCTTCTTGTGTCTGACCTGAAGAGTTAAAAATATAGACATTTTATACATATTTTTTTTTAGATGGGTCTGTACAATTTTCGCCCTTCTTTTAACATTTTATAAGTATTTCTTTAGATGGGTCTGTACAACTTCCGTCCCTGTATTAACATTTTATACATATTTCTTTAGATGGGCCTGTATAATTTCCGTCCCTCGGTGCGACCTGTGCCCCTAGAGGTTCACATCCATGGATTCCCTGGCCAGCACTACTGTCCACGAATGGCTACCATGAATAAACCAACCTTTCAATGTAAGTCAGAAACAGATTAAGAACATTTCTTAGATATATGTAATACTGTTAAATCATTTAATTCTTGGATTTCAATGTTCTTGGGCAAGCAAAATTTTATTGTTTCCTGAGGCAGTAATTTCATGGGTAACTTTTATATCTGCATAAATATATGAATAAAGTAATTGTTCATGGTCTCAATCAGGGAGATCCTCCTAAGGTTGTTTACTAGGGGTACAGATACGTTCAGCTATATTTTGCTGAGTATAGTGAAACATAGCATATTTGAACTCTTATTAATAATTTTTACAATTTCTGAAGTCCACTTTAAAAATCAGCAACTAAAATTTCGCATTTCTTGTATTTATAGCTCTGTCTTGTATGGTCTTGAAGATTTGTACATGACTTGCACATTCAATGTATAACAATTTTATTTCAATATTCTCAAAAATGCATTGAGAGGGTTCCATTCTTATATCATGTATCAGTGTTTCCGTTAACGCATATTTCTGCGTATTTTACGCATAGAAATCGACATTTCCACGCCAACAATCTATTAAATTCTTTTGTACGATCTATCTAATTCTTAACAAAACCAGAAGTGCAGATAAAAATGGCGCTTCAGCATGTTCAGTCTTACATCGGCATATTTATATCAGCTTGGCTTTGTCAAAAAGGCTAGTTATGGTAATAAAAAGGTGAGGAAAGTTCAATTCCTTAATAAACAGTTTTGTAAAGCAATCAACCACTTTCCATTGTAATCTTTTGATTGAGGTATTCACGAAACCCTTATGCTGAAATCTGTAAAATGCGACAGTGTACCAGTAAATAAAAGAAGTATACATGTATCAATTATTTTAATTTCATTTTTTATTTATTTTTAAACATCAAATATATGATTATAGAAGGCAAAGCTAATATAAGAACTGAAAGCAAAACGAAAATATATTTTGACCCTCAAAAAATCGTTTTGACTCCCAAAAGTTTATATAAAAGGGTCATAATGACCCTTGGTTAAAAAATTTATCGGAAACACTGTATATATTTATGCTATTATACATTTACGAAGAAAGTTTCATTAATCTGAGGATATCAGAAACACAGAGGTTGAAACACAATTTCGGCTGTGCTACAGTGTTTTTAGCATGTACTTATGACTTGATATGACTCATGGCCCAAAGAGGCACAACTCATAATGTCTCTGTCCAATCTTGGAGTGCTTTCTTCTCTGCTGTGGTGTTTTTTGATTTTGAACATCATCTGCTTATACATTATGCAGTTTTAAATATTGTTATCTGTTGATTGAAACATTAATAAATTTAAGTTTTAGCTTCTGTGTAAGATAAAAAAAAACTTTTTTTCATATTTCAGTGAAGTTTACAAGAAAAATGTGGTTGAATTTCTTCACAATTTTAATTTTCACTCAGCCACTATGGGAGCGATTATGTCAGTTACAAACAGTTTATATTTATACAGTGTTTACATGTATTTGATTTTCTTCACTTTACCCCTGTCACACTCAGCCACAAAGAGGTTGTCTCTGGTGTCTACACATAGTCCCATTGGACACTGTAGATCACAGTTATCAATGTAACTGAGGAACTGTCCGTCCTGATCTAGGATGTGGATACAGTGGTTGTACCAGTCTGATGTCAGGATCTGACTCTGGCTGTCTGTTGTTATTCCAAAAGGAGAGAATAATCTCTTGGTAGTAGAGGGATGACCAGTGTATCTAAATCGGAGTTTTCCTTCCTGATTAACCACCACTACTGCACCGGCTCTAACGTCAGCCACACAGATATCCAGGTTCCTGTTCTCACTGATGAATTTACTGAAGTCACCAGATGAATACAGAGGTTTACCTTTACTATCGAACTGAATGGGTTGTTTCTCTGTGGAGCCAGAGTAACGGATAACTTTTGATTGTTTATAATCATCACTGTCCATGGTAACCAGGAGGTCACCAGAGGATGTACTACAGAGATAGTAAGGTGTCCACTCCTGTAGTCTAATGACTTCCTGTATCTTTTCATTCTTCACTATGTTTACAGTTCTTCTACCACGGTCAGTATAAACTAGATCTCCACTCCTTGTCATTGCTATGTCATATAGTGTTTTCCCTGACTTAATTTGGATGGACTTCAGTAGTTTGCCCTGGAGGTTGTAGAGTTTCATGATTTTGTCATCTCCACATGTCCAGATTTCTTCATCACTCAGACAGGTAACACTGTACAGATAGTCATATCCAGTGTATATGGTGGTGATGAGTTCTGGTTCATCAAGCAGTGGTTTGACTGGAGGACAGGATACAGAATCTGGTGACTTCATTGTGTAGCCATGTTCTTCTGTTGTAATGGATAATGCTGACAGAGAACCAAACATTTGAATGAGCTTGTCTGCACTGATCTCCTGAGGAGAGAAACTTGGTAATGTAACATTGACTTTAGGAGGTAATCTTCTGTATTCATCATTCCTGGATTTATATGCAGATGTCAGTGGGACATCATTGGAGTGTAGAATTTTCTTCAGATCAACTATGCACTGTTTTACATAAGAAGTAATCTGTTTGATTTCTTTTTCCTGTTTATTTAGAGCAGCCAGGTGTTTAGTTTTCATCTCATCAATTTTAGATTTCTGTTTGTTGACAATGATGTTAATTTCTCTTTGCCAGCCTTCTCCTTGTTTGGTGACAGCTGTTGTCAGTTTCTCATAATGTTTTTCCAAGTTGACTTTTTCAGAGTTTAAATCTAATGCAATTTCTTTATATTTAGGATAGATTTTTTCCTCTAGTTCTTTTAAGTCTTTTTGTAAATCATTTGTTTTTGAACTTAGTTTCTGTAGGGCATCTGATAAATCGTGTCCTTTGTGTTTCCCAGAGGAGATGCAGGTAGAACAGACAGGAATGTCACATGTCTCACAGTAAAGTTCACAATGTTTCTGGGTGTGGTTTGGACATTTTATGTAGTTAGGAGTAGAAGTTCTGTGTTTGTATGGTACAACATTGTGTCTTTTAGATGAATCAGAGAGATGCTCCCCTACACAGGCCTTACACAGGTTAATCTGACAAAAGTTGCAATGACTCTGTAATGCAGCTTTTTGACAAAGATCACAGAGGAGGATGTCTTGAGCACTATAACGGGGGTCCATCACTGGGGTTTTGGTTAATTAATTACATGACTCTGTAAAAGTAAAAGGAGACTTAGATCACATAATAGCGGGTACTTGAAGCAATTCTGAATAAAAACAAGAGAAGTTGTTTTAGTTTTGTGTTCTAAATTCTAAAACAGTCACACATTTTGGATAATAATAGTAGGGAAATAGGTTAACAAATATTCTGTGCATCTTGTTTGACAAATTTTATGAGAAGAAAATGACATGAATTTATATTTCGTTATAATTTATATCAAGGTAATCTACAGTACAATGTACCAATTGGAATGCATTTCAAGCAATACCTGTAAATTTACTACACTTGAGATCATCAATGACAACAGAGTAATGCCTTGTGATGTTATATAATTGGCACATATTATTTCATCTTTAGTATCTTATAAAATACAACTAAATGTTATGTTCTCTCACCTCTAAATCCAATATGGCCTCCCTGATAATCCTGTATATTACAATTTACTTCCTGGTCTCCTTTCTAGATGTTAATCTGTTTACCAGGTCATGTGATTTAAATACCTGAATTATCTATACCTGTTGGTGTTGAGAAGTTTAAATAGACTAAAGTTATAGGTTTAAGGAATCAAATCTGTGCGTCTGTCTGTACCATACATAACAATTTTTTTTGTGCAGATTTCTCAGCAACTACTTATTGCAGATGCATTAAAGTTTACACACTCTTTGTTTAGACATCATGCCTTAAGGTGGGATTCACTTCTGTTTGAATCTGACATCAACTTATTACCATCGTGTGCCCATATTTCGACGGTCTTTCAATGTGTTGCAATATTTTATTTAACATAAACAATAATCTGCTAAAATAAATTAAGCGGTAAAAACATCATTCAAATTGTATTCCTTCCTGTGTAAAGATTTAACCAATTTGTTTGATCTAATTCTATTGGTGAAGAATTCAAAAGTGACATATAAACAACGGGCGCCGCCATTACCTGGTCCTAATTTCGACGGTTATGTCATCGATCGATATGCAAGCAATCAGGAAGGCCAAGCAAAACAAATTTTTAGTGGAAATAAAATTAGATTTTATTTTTCGTTAAATAAGGTAAATTAATAGTAACAATTGTAAATAAAATGTTTGACTTTATAATCATTTTTACTCCTCAATGCAGTGAGGGCAGAGGAATTTGTCATGTAAGCGGACAACCCGGGTACTGCAACAGTACCGCAGGTGTGTCCAGGGCTTACATGGCATCCCATTCCTCATGCCATCACATTTAGCCCATTTGGTGAATATTAAAATATCACTTTTTCGGATCTCTTTTGGTGTAAACTTTTTACACACACAACAAAGGTCCTTCTCCAGTACCACCTCCTCCTCATCATCAGTGTCACTGTCTTCCACAACTGGCAATCTAGTTTTCTTCTGCTTTCTGGAACCTGATCCACTTGCGGCTGCCCCTTGATCTTCATCTGATGCCTTTCTCTTGCCTTTTCCCTTCCCATTTTGTTCATCTTCATGTTGCTTCATCTGATCTATTATGATATCTGTTATGCAGTGTCCAGAGATTATCTTACTCATGGTTTTCCTCTCTTTTTTTTCAGAGACCCCCTCTCTCTTTGCATCCCTACAGGCTCTTACTTTAGCTTCAAAGAATTCTCTGTCATCATTTTTTTGTTCCTTTTCTCCACTTTTTTCTCTGGTTGTCTCATCTTTTGAGCTGTCAGCTATCTCGTTTTCCATGATAAATATCTCTGCTGGTTTAAGACTGTCTGGTGGAATTACAGCTTGCAAACATGGGTAGATGCCAGTTTTTCTTAATGCAGCTATCAAGTTTTCTGCAGACATGGCCTTGCTGTACACCTTGCAAACTAAATGACAAATGTTATATCTTGTTACTATGGAGTGTGATTCTCTAGTAAACTTATGACATTCTGAATTGTACATTTTCTGCATAGGTCCATAACGGCCTACATCCAGGGGTTGTAGAATGTGACTAGTATGAGCAGGAAGTATAAACAATATGATATTCCTGTCTCTTGCCCACTGCACAAGCAGAGTTGTGGAAAACTGCCGCTCATGCCGGCAAAACCGACAAAAAATTCGCATGACCGGTAAAAATGCTAACAGTGTCGGTCCAAATGACCGGCCCCCTTTTTTTGGCTAAAGGTTTTTTGTTTTTCCATTTATCAGCTGTGCATTTCCCTTCTTAATTATCGTACCTGCAATATATGCGATTGCGTAATACATTTTCTTTAATTGAGATCGAGGCTGTAAATGAAAGCGAAACTAGGCCAGCATGGTTCTCATGACCTATTAAATTTATAACTGGGACAGAATTAGGTAGAAAATGTATCAAAGAAAAAAATAAAGAGGAACTGATTTAAAATATGAAAATTTTCAACAGAAGGAATTCAAACACAGGTGGGGAAAGCAGTAAATCTAGTACTACCGACTGTCCCAGATTTTTGTTTTTTTTACCGATCGTGTTGATCTGTTGATATCTTTATTATCGATGCAAAGAATTTTTGCAATTTCTAGACCAATTTTCTAGGTTAATTAATTCCAAAATGTTTTTTAATAAAAATCATGTTCACTATGCTGAATGAGCATTGCGACCTGCCCAAAAGCGGTGATATTAATCTAGTCTTGTTATTTATGAATGCAAAATTAAAAGAAAACGGAGGAGGACTTGGAAATGGAGACTGCATTTTGTATCATTATTAACATGATTAACAGGATTTATTAAAAAAAATATATGTTATTAAGTGAATAAATATTATGATTTTTTTTTCATTTTGCAACTTACTATTTCGGACCGACAAAAATCACTTCAAACTGGCATATTTTGTTTTCTAGCCGGTCCAAATGACCGGCTATCTGAAAAAGTTTTCCACAACTCTGCACAAGTCCCACAGAAGTGTGAGATTTATGCCCGTCCATCAACAAAAGAACCTTCTGACCATCCTTGATAGGGACATGCTTCAAAAAATGATCCTCTAGGAACTCTTGGAACAGCTGTTAATTGGACCATCCTGTCTCTGAGACTCTGCCTACTGCGCCTGGTGTTGCACCTTCCATTAACTCTGGCATCCTTCTCTTTCCAGCAAATATGAAAAAAGGAGGAATTGCTGTACCACTAGCACTTCTACAACCAATCACTGTGGTGGTACTAGATTTATCTGCAGTGACAGCTTGAGGTGGAAAATGGTTACCACAAACAACAAAAGGAGGAGTCTGTTTCTGGGTAAATCCTTTTTCATCCACATTGTAAATTAGGTAGGGGTTCTTGTCAAAACCATTCTCTCGGATGACCTGTTCCAGTTCTTTGAAATATCTATCAGTAACAGGAACTGATGCACACTTTGCCCTGACGATTTCCAGACTCAGAGGCTTAAGGACTTTAAATTCAGGCCACCTGCTCACGAATCCCCGAAACCACTTAAGAGAGAATGGGTGCTGCTTATCTCTAATACCATTTTCTAGGTCTACAACCTCTTGACGGCAAGTATATCCATAGCCATATTCTGCCATGATCTTTAAATGTTCAACAATATTAGATTCCTGGAGTATATCTAATAAAGGACTCCTCCCACTCTTAACTATTTCAGGATCAACATTGCCTAACACAATCTCTGAGGGTTGTGATGGGCACATTGTACTGCCTTGCTGCTCCCATAACAGATTTTTTGTCAGTTTTTATCGACATATATGCATTTGTAAGGGAAGTTGGTGAATCTGTTTTGAGATGACTTTTTTTATACGATTAGCCTACAAATAAAGTAAAACAATACTCTTAGCCATTGAGTTTTTAATTCAAAATTCGAATCATTGTTTTTTTCTTTCAATAAAAAAATAGGTCTTCTAAACTCAAAATAAAATTGGTTTGGCCTTGTTTTCCATAAACGCAGTGGTATAAATATCATTACTGAATTGTCAGTCTATGCAGACGACATTTTTTCAAGTTATGTGCAGCAAGCTTATACCAGTAACCAGATTTCATATTTGCATCAAAAAAGTGATCTTATGTAAGGCAGATATTTTTTCGCCTTCAACTATGCTTACCTGTTTGAAATGCATTTTCATAGATGATGCAGGTAAAACAATTGTAAGTCTATACCGGTACTTTGTTTACACACACCATCCCGATCTCGCGAGAACGAACGAGATACCCGGTATAAACAAAAGAACGAAACCGTCAAAATTCGGACCCTGTTGATTTTAGGACCTTCAACCATATCTAATATGTACCACATTATTGTCAAAGTTTTCTCAGCAACAACTCGTCGCAAATGTTTGAAATTTTAACACACTCTTTGCTGAGGCATGCCATGGTGGGATTCATTTTTGTATGAATCTGATTTCAACTTTCTGTTTATCTGTGTGTCTGTCCATAACTTAACGTGTTTTTTCACTTGATTAGTGTATATTCATATTACAGTGGGGGTATTATTAGTGACCATAGACTCAAAGACTTCGATCTTGTTTCAATTTTGAGACATGCTTTGCTGAATTTCATGGAGAAAGTTCTGTTCTTGATTTGCTATTGTATATGTACCAAGTCGAAGAAAGTTTTATTTAGAAAAAAATGTCAGGAAAATGAACACAATTTCGACTGTAACAATCTGCTTAAGTGTTTGTTTTTTGCATTACTCAGAGAGCCTTGTATAGCTCTTGATATGACTCATTCCCCAAAGAGGCAGAAACTGTTAATGTCACTGACCAATTTCGGAGCACTTTCTTCTCCGCTGTGGCGTTAAGCATGGTGTCTGATGACTGCTAGTGTTTCCTATAGGAACAAGCCTCCAATAGGAGAGGCAGTGACTTTATTGATCCGCCTATTTACAGAGTTTGTACTGCTCCCTCTGATGGAGCGGTACGGAAGTCGTTGAACAGTTCTCCAGCGTAATGACACCCATCAGATGAAGTTGACTGATGGACGCGCAGTTTTCTTTGTCAGCATAATGTTATTAATAAACCAATATTTGCTCTCTGGATTATGCTTTTACTCCAAAATGATAATTGGTTTCATTTTTGAAAATAGATTATAGTTCTTTGTGACTTATTCCATTATCTTTCAGGTAGAAAAATGTTCTGATTATTTCCTCATGTATTTTTGTGAAGGTTGATAGCATTTCACAATAGGATATTCTCTATGGTTAGTTAGCTATGATCATAGGAAATCAATTTTGGCAGAGTTGAAATATCATTTTACTTGTATTACCAAACATTTTGATTAGCATTTTGTGAAATGAAAGAAAGAAACAAACATATCTACTTTGTATATAGTCAGTAAATTGAGTGTATGCAATTTGAAACATTTTTAGTGTTTTGGGCCGTGGATATCGGCCTGGATAGCTCAGTTGGTAGAGCACCTGACTGGAGATACAGGGGTCCCAGGTTTGATTCCCGGTTCAGCCATACATTTTCTCGTTCCCTGTTACACATTTGCAGAATTCAAAATTGAGGTTTTTTTGGTGGGGTACAACTAACTAAATGGCATATTTTAACTGTCTTGCCGAAAGCCTTTTCAACAGAGCGAGCACTGGCAAACATTTCTGTTGGAGGTGTAGAAAATTTTGGCAAGCGCTTGCAAACATTTGCTCTATTAAACAGGCCTCAGTCCTATCTTGTCTGACCATCATGCTAAAATTAAAGAAGTTTAAATATCTCTTTGCAGTAATATGTTCTGGTGCGAACATCACAGCTAAGTTTAAAAAAAAAAGAGAAGAAAGTCATATGTCAAGGTCATTATAGATAAAAAAAAAAAAGGCACAGTTTATTCATAAGGTTTTATCATAGCTAAAGCACATGTGAAATATGAATGCCCAATCCTCTTTTATTTGGAAGTAAAATGACTTAAGCTAAAAAAGTAAATTTGTAATAGAAAGTCATACTTTGAAGTCAAGATCATATTAGGTAAAAAATCACTATATTCATTAAGGTTTATTTAGAAGTAAATGACCAAGGTTAAGGTTTTGTGACTGGCAGATGTAAAACAAACAGAAGGATGGAGAGACAGGTAGACAGATGAATGAGATTTAATATTGTGAAAACAGAGGACAATTTGTACAGCAAATCTCATAGTGAATTTCCAGTGAAACAAAGAGAAAAATTCTTTCATCTAACATATTTGATTTATGTTTATAAAGATTTTGTAGCAAATCTTAACGAACTTCTGTAATATATAAGAGAACTTGATATTATGATACTTTGTTCTATTCACCTAATTGTATTTTTCCACAGCCATAAAAACTCACTCCCCGGAGAAGCCGGTCCTTGTGTTTGTGTCGTCACGGAGACAGACTCGGCTGACTGCCCTTGACCTGATTGCCTTCCTTGCTGCGGAGGATAACCCCAAACAATGGCTTCATATGGGGGAAATGGAGGTAAGGACTATACTGACTACCCTACTGTATTCAGGGTTATTTTTGCCCCATGTTATTTTCGCCTGTTCAGATTTGGAAAAAAAGTTTGCCTCATTTTAAATTCATCCAGAAGATTTTTGTTTAAGATATTATACTGTTTACTTAGAATTTGCTCCGTTTTAAACTGCCCACTTCTGGTGAGGGTGAAAGGGGCAAAAATAAAACAGGGTCGAAAATTTCCCTGTATACACATGTATAAACATTTCAAAAAACGGTACACATTTGGTTTACCGCAGTGAGCCTGTGAATGGGGTCGAAAACATGTGACATTTTGTGTACCACCTGGTACATATCACATGTATGATTCAGTATTAATGACATTATGTGTAGGAGATAAAACTGAGCCATATATTGCTAAACATTTTAGCATTGCGATATAGAGTTAGACCGTAGTGTGGCCCTTAATTAGTACTTCTCACACTAGTGTTAATTAAATCTAAAGCAGACAGATTGAAAACATTGAAGTAAAAAAAATTGTCAAAATACAAATACATTGCATGCAGAATTTCCATATATGTTGAATGATAAAGGTTAAGTGCATTCATCTATATTCTCAACTGACAAGGAAATCGTCCGAGTTCCATTTAGTTAATAGATTTTACAATACAACTGCATCTTGAATGTAGATTGAATTTCATTTATTGCCTGCAATTTAGTATTAAATTCGAGACTGAGAATTAAATTCATGATTCATGAGATATTATTTTGTCTCAGTAGTTAACGATTTTGTAAATTTGCGCAAACATATAAATGCTTAAATATCAATGTTAAATTGAAGGTATTTTGACTCCACCCTTTTGTATAATTTGTGTGCATGTTTTGGATCTTTGTTATAATTCCGGTCATTTGATATCTGAAGAAGGAAGAAGATCGCAGCCAATTAATGGACAATCCTCCCAGGTAAGATTTCTACCTGAATACAGGTATAATTGTATTATATACCCAAAGTTTTATTGACAAATTGTTTTTTTTTTCTGTACAGCTATTGCCGTTTCAGCAAACTCTGTTAATTGTGCTTAATTTTGACAAATTATTAATTATGAATATAGCTAGATTTGATGCATATTACTGGTAATCAATTTGGAACAACTTTCATTTCAAGTTGGATTTCTTTTTAGTGTATTTCTCACACTTGACTATTATATTTGAAATCTAGATAGATCATGAATTTGGTGGGATTTTGAGCTGTTGAATTCAGTAAAAGTCTGTAATGTTACTAAATTGAGACTTTTCTCAGACAGGAACTGATGCTATGAGTAAGAGGGAGTAACAGTAGATCAATCAGTGTGTCACAAGGGCATGATGTCAACAGATTTGAATTGGGGTTACTCAAATTAAATGCTTTCATTGCACAGTCAGAATGAAGGTCAGGAGACCGATGAACATTTTTGTGAGCTTAATAGACTTTGGGTACTAGGTCAATGCCAGCTGAGCAATGCAGGATGCATGGTTTCTTTTAAAGGTGTCCTATCCATCTCTTTTGGAACAAGATTTGTTTAGTTCTCAGTACTTGGTTTGTTCTTTTGCAGAGCTCTCCATTTCTGTTCTCTTCTGTTCTAAGGTGTCTTTAACCTTATCCTCCAAGAAGACCCCCCCCACTCCTCCCCCCCCCCCCCCCCACCCACACACACACACATCCATCCATTGCTGATGATACAAAGGCTGATGTTGGTCAATTTTCTGATCAGGAGCAGCTTTGTTTTAAATTTGCAGATGAAATCCTTGATTCCTAGCCCCTATATATTGATTGATCCTAGAATTAATAGTGAGCTGTTGTAAACCATTCACAGGTCATGGAGTAATGATAGTATTTATCTGGTACTTATCAACAGATAATTTTTAACCTCTGATATAATTCTTATTAATTATCTAGTAGGGGTATCTGCTGATGTGGATTTAGATGTTGCTACAGAAGTCTGGGAAATGAAAATAAGTAATTTATTTTGATGGTGAATCAGCTTTTAAATCAGCTAAGAAATGCCATTTTTTCCTAGAGAATATTTTGGTCATTAGCTCACCTAGCTGAGCTGAAAGCCTCTTGATAACCAAGTAGAGGTCCAGGAGCCAGAAGGGAAAAGTTGCATTTAAAAGCTCTTACTTGCTTACTAATCCTCTCCGTGCCCCGGAGGACGCATGAGGCCATTCAACAAAGAACACCACTTATGGCGGTCACTTGCAACAACCTGCCCCTCATTTCAACTCTTCCAACCCAGTTCTTCCCTTTCTCTCTCGACAGAGCGTCGCCAGGTGTTCTTTGGCCGTCCTCTACGTCTCTTTCCCTCAGGGGCCCATGTAAGAGCTGTTCTCACTTGTGAGTTCTCTCACCTTCGGAGGATGTGGCCTATCCATCTCTTTCCTTTGATGGTCCTTGATAGAGGTATGGATCTATGAGGGAAAAACGTTGGATTTAAAAGCTCTGCTAGGTAAATAAAAAAGATGAGTCTTTTTCCTCTTATGAGTTTCTGGTTGGGATTTTTTTTTCTGAACATCTCATCTCATCCTAACCCTATCCCCTCACCCCTCATCAAAATAGGCAGTGAAAATAGCTAGACTTTATTGTAGCAATGAAAGCTTGAACATACCTGATGCATAAGACTAACAACTCCACACTACTGCCAGTTAAAAAACCTTTTTTCAAAAGTCTTTCTTTAAAATTAGTTGGAATGATAAAGTTCCCTAGTTAATGGAGTCTTCTGTCATTGATTGTGACGTATATCATAACAAAGAATTATACAAGTCATGGACAATAATTTTCTTTTCATACATGCCAACTTTTGAAAATTCCCATGGGGGATTTAGCGCGTGACGACAATTTTCAAAGCTTTAAATTCGCGACATTTTGTCGTGAAATTAAATGATTATGAAATGATTTTTTTTTATTTATAATATTGATATCACTTATCAATAAAACTCAAGGATTAATTTACCACAAAAAATGTTTTTCTTTCCAAAATTGAAATATTTTTGCTAAAATACTGGTGCCTCTCTCACTAAAGAAGGGGTATTTAGTTACATATATAAACAACTTTTTTTCCACCAGGACAGAATTTAGTAAAAAATTGAAAATTGTACAACTTTAAAATCATTTTTTTCAAAGGCTAAAAATAAATGAGGTGTTGATACTGTAAAGTCCTGTTTCTAGAAACATTTTTTATTGATATTTCAATTAATTAGAAATTCTAATAAGATATTAAATTTACAGAAATTTATACCACCTATCCAAAACAGAATTATTTTTTTTTACAGTCATGAAATTTGTCAGGCTTTATGGTGCCATGTCATGATGTGGGTATTTCCTTAAGTCATGCACATAGATCTACCTAACATATTACTTTTGGGAGAAGGGAGGGAAAAGAAATTCTAATTGACATACACTTGATTGTTTCATCTTAATTTTTTGATAATATTTTAACTGGCAAACTTTACAATATTTTTCATTATAGGTAGATAAAATCAGCAGCTATGCTTTATTAGTTTTCTACTTTCGTTTTCAAAAAACGATCTCTTTGGATTCCGTTTTTATTGTTTGATTTGCATTTTATTGTCTTTAATTTATATTTTTAATAAAATGACAAACAACTATCTTGTTAATCTATGTGTTTCACCTTGCATACCCTTTAAAACTAACAAGATAATCCCTTAATTGCCCCAAGCTATAAGCTTCTTGCTCCAGTGGACAACTTCGAATTTGTGCGTTCAAGCGTGAAGTGATTTCCTGTGTCTAGGCCTAATTAACATCTGGTTAAATAAACAATGAAACTTATCTGTGTGCATTGAATAAACAAGTCTGACATTGTTATCCCGATTGTCAAAATTCAGCGGTAGGGAATTACTTTTAAAATCGGAAATTTAATTTGGTGATTTTTTTTTCAAATCGGGAAATAAGGGCAATTTTGCTTTCCCGATCGGGAAGGCGGGATGAAAGGGTAAAATCGGGAGGATCCCGCCTAAATCGGGAAAGTTGGCATGTTTGTCTTTTTTTTAGCTAAGATAAACAGCATTTATGTCCAAAAATGGGGATGGGGTTGTTGGGTGTGGGTAAGCTTCACCAAATTGTTTCAATATTATCAAACACACCTTTATATTTGTTTAACAATGTTATATTGACATGGTAAGTTATATGTAATAGATTTTGTAGATTCATAAGTCATTAGTTGACTTACTTTTTTTTTTAATAAATGGGTTTCAATATTTGAGGGATTTGCAATTAATTAATATAATTCATATTTCTGGTAGGATTTCTGAGTGGTCTTGCTTCAGGACTAAGCTTCTTGGAAACATATAATAATTACTATAGTACATCTCAAAATTAGAAATAAGTTTTGGATTAAGTCTGGAATTTACCAGACATCTGGCTTATTGCAGCAGATAATATTATCCAACAAAGTCAACATTAAACAATCCTGGGAGCAATTTTCTTCAATCATTAGTCTTTGATTCCTGAAAAGTTCATTGCGAGAGACTTGAAAAAAATTAATTTGACAAAAGATATGAAAGGAAATGAGGCTAAAAAAAAAAAAAGAAAGAAATATGGTAAGCAGAAATATTATATATACAACCTTGTTTGGATACACATATGATTCCATTTGGTAATTCTTCTTTACAATCTAAAACATGCTGTCTTTCTTTAAACACTTATGATGTTCTTTTATGGGAAATACTGTAAAACCACATATTTTCGTGGAATCAAATTTTCATGGTTTGAGGAAAAAATAATTGCTCTTAGGGATATGATTTTGTGGACAAAGAATTATTGAGTAGCAATATATTTGAAAAATTATATTTCATGGTGTTCATAAATTCATTGGTCCCAAAATTCATGCATCAAAATCAACGAAAATCAAACCCCCTTGAAAATAAGTGATTTCACAAATTCACAGTAGTCAATTTAGAAGCTGAGTCATAATAATTTGGCATTGATTGGCTTTTAGTTGGAGGACAGTTAGATGATAGAATATGAT